TTGTACTCTTTCCAATACTGGGTCTGTTAATGAGCTACTACTGCCTCTTAAGCTACAAACCAACCTTCCACAAATACTAGTTCAGGTCTGTTGAAAAGTCAGTATAACCACTAAAGGTTATGAGGCTCAGCAGTAATATCTATTACCCAGATGGGCTTCCTATGCTCTTATGAGACAAATCATCTTATGTGACAGTGAAAAGTGAATTGAACAAAGTAGATATAATTACTTATTTAGGTATAACATGAATTCCATAAAGTTTCATGTCTTTTCATTATTCCTCTTATTTTTTTTATTCTTAATAAAGTAGTTCCTGTTGATCCTACACCACTCTCCATTAAATCAAGAATAAAGTTTTTTGCACTACTGCATTCCACATTTTGATCAATTGGAGGAAATCCTTTTACCTTTCCATTCCTTTTTTTTTTTTTTTTTGTTTTAACAAATAGCCAATACTCTCTCAAGAAGTCTACTTCTGCACTACAATTAGTAGAACATATGGCTTGTATTATGGAGGTTTAAAACTTATTTAAGGATTTTTAAAGCAGTAAACTTAAACTGTATGATGTACCAGAATCTCTGAAAGGCCTGTTTACATAGTCACAGGATTCTGCAGAAGAATACTTTCTATGCATCAGAAAATACTATGGGTAGGTAAATTTTTAAGGCTCCCCATTTAACCAAAAAAGAAAAAAAAAACATTGGAAAAACCCCTGAAAGAAGATATACAAGTGGCAAATGAACATATAAAAAGATACTATTAAATGAGATTTTTAAAAAGCCAATAATGATCCTAGACCTACTAGGACTGACCAAAATCCAGTACACTACCAAATCCAAATACTGGCAATGATGTGGAGCAAAATAAACTTTCAGTCATTGCTAATGGGAAAGCAAAATGGTACAACCACTTTGGAATACAGTGTGTTTCTTATAAAACTAAACATACTGTTACCATATGCTCCAGCAACTGCACTCTCTGGTATTTACCCAAGGCACCTAAAAACTTATATAGACACCAAAAAAATCTGCAAACAGATATTTGGCAGCTTTGCTCATAATTTAATTGACAAAGCTTGGAAACAACCAAGATACTGTTCTACAGGTGAGCTGTTAGATAAACTGTGGTAAACCCAGATTAAGGTAAGGATCTTTTTATTCAAAGATAAAAAGATATGCCATATCAATCCACACACACACAAAAGAAAAAAGATATGAAGGAACCTAAAATAGATAATGTAAGTGAAAGAAGCCAATTTGAAAAGACTAAATACTTCATGACTCAAAACTATATGACTTTCAGGATACTATGAAAAACTATGGAAGCAGTCAAAAAGATCAGTGGTTGCCAGGAGTTGGGAGGAGGGATAAGTGAATAGGTGGCAAACATGGGATTTTTAGGATATTGTATCTATATGTGACAATTATGACAACTATGTTATACATTTGTCCAGGCCCACAGACTATACAATACAGAAAGTAGTATAATGTATGGTGGTTGGATGGTTATAAACTATCAGTAGTAATACATGAATTACTCCAGCTGGGTATATTTAAAATGGAGGATGTTTGGCATGTAAGGGTGAAGGCACACAATCTATGGGAAATCTCTAACTCTCTTCGATTTTTATGTGAAACATAAGCTTCCTTAGCAAACAAATGTATTTTAAAAAAACTGGAATTAAAATCTGTTTTTCCTTGTTTTGTTTTGTTTTGTTTTGTTTGGCCAGCTTTCAGCATGACAAAGGGATCCCAGCTCAGTGGAACTGGTCGATAGCAGAAGAATGACTTCCAATGAGGGAAAAAGACATGTACCCTCTAATGTTAGGATGCAAATTTTCAAGTTTCAGACTATAACTGAGTAGAAGAGCAGGAAGGCTCTGCCATCAAGATGAAATGTGTGTCCCAGTGAAATGCGGGATTGCCAGCTGGGCTGTTAGAAGCCAGCAACCCTGTGATCCTTCCTGGAACTTAGTAAAGAAAGAGGGGTCAGCAAGCAAAGGTTAAGAAGGGCATGTGGGGTGAGAAAATAATGATAATGATGAACAGCTATATACCAGAGACATTTTGTGGGAGTGGAGTGGGGAATGGGATCAAAAACAGTGGTGGGAGGGAAATGCACTGGCCTATGGTGATTGGTGATTCGGTGATGGGAAACCCAAGGGGACTGCAACTGAGATGGGAAAATGCACAAAAATATGTAAAAATAAACTATTATAAAATTAAAAAAATAAAGAAGGACATGTGGGGAAGAACCCAGCAAGATACAGAAACTCAGCAATCTTCAGCGACAGCACCAAAAATCCACAGTATCACTCTCCTTATGGAGTCTGGTATAACAGTGTTGGACTCAATCTGATCACCAATTTCCAATTTCCCAGAAGGAACACCCCAAAAAGACTCCCACCAGTGCCAGTCACAAGGTGATCCAACACATAGAACAAATTAGAAAACAAACAGGGAAAAGGAAAATACAATAACCAAGCAATCCTTCTGGGAAAGGACACACCACATTTGTGACAACATGGGTGGATTTTTTTATTTTTTTAGATTTATTTATTTATGCATACAGAACGTGGGTACAGGCCAGAGATGCGGAGGATGAGAGGGGAGCAGAACAGGCAGATCCACGAATTACACTGCTGAGGGGAGCAGTGGGCGGTCAGGAGAGGTCTGCCTCGCCATGTGGTCACCTCAGGGGCAAGTGGGAATGGAACTTATGCGGAAGTAATTTAAACTTCTTAGTGCTGTGCTTTAATCCACTGCGCCAACAGGGAGGGCCGATGGGTGGATCTTGAGGGGATTATGTCAAGGCAAGTAAGTCAGGTGGAGGAAGACAAATAACATAAAATTGCATTTATTTGTGGAAAAGAAAGCAAATGTGCAAGCTACAAAACAAACCCTTACAAACTAACAACAAAATGGTAGATACTGGGGAGGAAGGGTTGAAAGGAAGGGAATGGTAGGTAGTGGATGATGACATTTGGTGGTAAGCATGGTGAAATATTGCAGTTACGAAGGTGAGAATATGTACTTCTGGAATCTATAGTGCTGTAAACTCAACTTTAAAGTTGTGTCTTGGACCCTCCATGGTGGTGCAGCGGGTTAAAGCACAGCACTGAGAAGCTAAAGTCACTTCCGCATGAGTTCAATTCCTGCCTGCCCCAAAGGTGGTCCACATGGCACGGCAGACCTCTCCTGACCAGCCGGCTGCTCCCCTCAGTAGTGTACTTCGTGGATCTGCCTGTTCTGCTCCACACTGTCTCTGGTGAATCCTCTCACTTCCCCAGTACCTCTGGCCTATACCCCAGTTCTGTATGCATAAATAAATAAATAAATCTTAAAAAAAAGATGTACCTAGATGTATTTCAAAGAGACAGAAAACATGTTAAGGGGTTAAATATATGAACGCTAGAATGAACTGTTCCAATATACATACACTCAGAATCTTAGAAGTAGAATAGATCCAATAATCTCATTCCAAGGTATTTACCCTAAGAAACTTTTGTACTTATATACAAAGAAGCAATGAAAGGAATGGCAACATCTGCACTAGCTCCAAACTAGAAGCAGATACAATGGTCATCAAAAGGATAAAAGACAGGTTATAGCAAACTCGTGCAATAGAACATTACATAGCACAAACAAGCATAAACAACATATTCTTTTGTACATATCAAATATTATATTAAAATGTAATATCAGAATCTCTATTAAACAAGTAGTACAACAGATTCTCAAGATGCTCAGAGATACCCACCTTTAATATATCTTGGAAGTCAGAAAGACCTAGGCTAGACTCTTCTGTCTTATTATCATTCGGAGCCTCTATTTTCTCATAAAATAGCAATGATATCTGCCTTGTATAGTTTATTATGAGAGTATGATTATAGTACTTGTTTATCTATGAATTCCTAGTAAATAGCACATGCCTAGAATATGGTCATCTCAATTTCTCTTCCTTTCATAAAACTACAGAATAAAGCTTTAAAGGCTCATCGTGATTGTTTTAGTTTTTGGTTTTTGTTTCTGTTTTTTATATTGATACTTTATCTTGGCATTGATTATATGTTACTCTATGCAAAAAGTAACTCAGACTTCTCTGGATGTCAGGTCATAATCTGTTAAAGAATAACTGGACTATATCAGATGCCTATAGCTGACATCATACTATATACTTGTCTTTTTAAAAGGTAAATGAAAAAACATACTTTTGTTACACCACAAAAATGGATAGTCCCCCCCCAAAATATTACCTAAACACAAACCCATATCTGAGGTTGTCCAAACTGTGTTCAGTGATAGTTATCTTAGGTGGATGTGCCATGAATTAAGGCACTTTAACCTTCCAGTATATTGCATTAGTTAGGTTCTTCTACCTTTGACCTCTCTCATTCAGGTCAAGCTATCACATGCAGAAAGCTTGTCCTTCTCAGAGAAAAAAAAAATAAATCCTGAACTTCCAGCCCTCTGTTACACAGTGAGAAGTTTACAAAACTATTGTGGCTTGAAGCCTAAATTTTTCTTTTGTTCCTCCACCTTATTTTTACAATGCTAAGAGTCCTTTCTTCACAATTTGGGTCCCTTCTTCAGTCTTAACATGGCTCAACCTTCATAGGCCTGTCCTTTACCAGCTCAAAGACACTATAATAGCTAAAAAATGAGAGAATTCAGAGACATTTATAGTTTTGAAAAACTGATATATATAAGACCAACTGAAAGCAACAGAGATCTTTCAAATTCTCCAGGATGGTACCAGTTTACTTACCTGGTGTTTTCCAGGGCATTTGTTATCTGCTGTTGCTCAATGTCATAAAGTTTCACCTTGAAGCCTCCACTGGCGAACAACATAGCCCAGCTTTGTCCAATGAGTCCACTAAAGAAAAAGAAAATTAAGACAGTCTTCTAGTTAAACTAAAAACTGAAACATTTTTCCTGCTTTATTTATAATTGGAAAGACATGGAAACCACTCAAATGCCCAAAAGTAGATGGCTGGATTAAAAAGATGTGGTACATATACACAATGGAATATTACTCAGCAACCAAAAAAATAAATAACATGAATGGAGCTGGAAAAGATCATTCTTGTGAAATAAGCCAAAAAAGGAAAAATTCCAGATGCTTTCACTCATAGCAGGAATATAAAGGATCAAGTGATAAAATAATAATAATAATGAACAACTATATACCAGAGACATTTTACGGGGATGGAATGGATAATGTGATCAAAAACAGTGGGTGATAGTCCCTCCCTGGTGGCGCAGCGGGT